GTATTTCTAAAGCGCTGGGCACAATAATATTTTTTAAATTCCAAAGCCTATTTATCTTCATAACGTATAGGTCTATCTTTGGTCAATCCCCTATGAATCATCAATTTCCATCAAATTTTGTCGGGAAATGGATAAACTGTCAGCAGCGGTATTGGGAAACCACAGATGTGCTTTTGGGAAACCTGAAATGCCTGTTCTGTATGAAAGTAGAATTGGTTACAGAATTTTTAAATTATGTATGTATAAAACAATTACACTGATTGTTTAGTATATGTGATGATATTGGAATTGATGTTAGTGGTAATATTTAATTAAACATATAGTTTGAAAATGACGTTTACTGGTATTAGATGTGTTCAAACTGTTATCTACATTTACAATAATACATTTATGTGTTAAAATATGATGCAAAGATACAATCTTGATAAACACGAAAGTTTTAAACGATTAGGACTATTTATTTAATTTAAAAATGACCTATCACTTCTTGGATGTAGAAAGGTTTGTTTTTTATTCTTCAGGTTATAAGTATTTCTCCCACCTTCTCAGCGAGTCTTCGTGGTGTAGTGGTCTGCACGCTCAAAGCGTGATTGAGAGGTCCGTGGTTCGATTCTGGCGAAGGTGTTTCTAATTTTTCAATTCTCCTGATTCCCAAAATATACCTAATCTCTCTGCAGTGGCGCCCAAACTAAAAAGGTCTTGGATGATGATTCTCCTCACCAAGGATTTGGCGACTGAGTCCCCTAAAAACCCCATTCGTCCTTTAAAAGGGGGAGTATATAAGATATTTCTCCCGCCTTCCTAACATGCTTTCGTGGTGTAGTGGTCAGCACACTGAGCCGATATTTCAGAGGTCCGTGGTTCCATTCCCGGCGAAGGGGTTGCTAATTTTTCATCTCTCCGGCCTCGAAATTACCTAATGTCTCTACAAGGTATGCAATTATTACTAATTATGGGATTTTCAAGCCTCGATTGAGAAGAATTTTAGTTTTCATCTTCTGAGCCGCCGAACCGGGATAGTAGTTAGAGATACTGCGTGTCGTACCGAAGGGCTCAGTTTCCAATCCCAGAGAAGACATTGACGTTTGTAATGCAGTTTGGAGGCATTGGGGGCACTCTAAATATGCGGCGAGCCGACAGTCCTCTCGACAAGTTGAATGAGAGAAAAAGAGAGGAAAAGGATGGAACAGTCTATTGTTCGTTCCCCTGGGTGTTCTTCTTTAAAGGGGATGGAACTGAAAAAGTCATATTGTCACTTGTATGCTGCTCAAGGCTCTTGCCAACGATAGTCGCAATTTTACATTCTTTGCCACAATGAATTTCGTGGGCTTATTCTGATGCTGCTGTCAGACAAATAAAATAATTCACAACAACCCAACACTAACTTCTGAAATCATATTTTGATAAAGGGGATTATAAAACGTAGAAACAGAGTATTTATTGAATTTTTTAATGTCTTCCAATGATACCAAACCTGGGTAACGCACTGGTTCACCAGCTACGATAATGTCTCCATTCTTCACAAATCCGAAATGAAAATCATGACCAGTTTTGATTAGATTTGAGTTCAACGTTTTCAGACACTAGATTTCTACTATTAATCGATTACTGAAGAGCAAAGCAGACTTAAATCCGATTCCTGACGCTTCCAAAGAAACAAAACTTGTGAATGGCGTTTCTCGGCATTTGACTCTCTAGCTATAAATTAGTAAATTAGAATATAACGGGATATTCCAGTACAAATCTAAGTATTATGTACCGAACATTTCCAGTATTATGGACCACACAATGATGGCATCCAATCCATAACTTAAAAAGAATACTAAAACACACGAAAAATATAAACTGTATAAAGCAGCACAGACCCCATTCATCAAATAACAACTAGACAAATACTTAGTAAAAAAATTGCGAAAATTAAATAAAAAATTAAAATACGGACAAATATTGTATTATATAGGAATGTTGAATGGGGTTCTATTACATGTGAAACACTAAAGTAAGTATTAGAATCATAAGAAACATAAGTCAAATCTAAAACGGCAGATTTAACCAAAATGGAGTTTTGTGACAAATAACAGCTACATATAACAAATATTTCACATTATGTCTAATAATAAAAATTGGTATTCTACCTAATTGTCATCTGATTTTTCACGATATTTACGATGCCTATATTCTTATAATGTTAAACATTGAAATTCGATTAGATATAAGAAATTTTATAAAAAAACATTGTTTCCCATCTAATAAACATTTTAAGAAATTTCAGATTTTTGAAATGAAGGCATAAGCTCTTAACTTACCAATTCTTACTTCCATTCGAAATAAAATAACTTTTCCTCTTGCCTTAATCTGGAGGGGAGAAAAATTTAAGATTAGATGTGATCTATAACTTACTTTTATTTTAGTTTTTACCACACCTAATAACTTGAATAAATTTACCTTGCGAGTTATAAAACACTGAATGTATCTCAAGCAATTCATTGATTGGGCCAAAAGACTTATTCCCTCTCCATATTATGAATACCAGCAGCATCCTTCATGCCCAGAGGCTGGCACTAGGGAATAACTTATTGCGAAAACTGCCCCAAGCTTATCACTGATTGTAGGAAGTAAGGCAGAAAAGTAGACGTGATGTGGTCTCGCATTTTTCCTGCATTCTGCATGAAAGAGGGGTTATTTAGGTTTCAAAGAAAAGCGAGAGAGTTACATTTTCATCTGGGAACTCTAAAACCTTAGAGGAAGATTGATGATTTCCAGTATTTCATTTGAGAAGCACAGAAACTTTTTATTTCCTACCTCGATACGCCTCTACTCTTGTGATTGATTGCCGAGTTTATAGACCTACAAACACAACCTTTTAAATAAATTTATAATATTTTCTGAAAATATGGTCTTAAAAAAGGTATTTGTGGGAGGATTATGGAGAAACAGTATTTCGATATACTTGTTTATGACTTCTTTGAAGAATGTTCAGTGAAAATATGCCATTCCCATTGAAAAGCACTTTATCACAGCAAGGGAAAATGCGTTAAATAAAGTTACTTAACTTAAAAGCGGACATAACAGAATCAAGAAAAGTTTTAAGTTTTTCAGACCAAAATTACGAAGAATATTTGTAAAATGATGTCTTCATTGCCATATATTACGTTAGATTAATCATGGCAAAGCATTCGATGCCTTTTGTTTAGAAAAAGTGCCATAGTGGAGAATTACCCTTACTAGCTAATATTTTCAAGATGGCGCTCTGTAAACTGATGGATTAAATGTTTTAATAATATTAATCATTAAATGCCAGGTTAACATTACAGAAACACTCACAGTTACATGCATGGATAACGCGGTTGTAGCACGTCGAGGTTTATTTGGCCAATTTTGAAACACATTTTAAGCGTTACTCAAATATACTGCTAAGGAATGCTTATTTAGACTGCTGACTATTAGATTAGTAAGTAAATTACAAACATTCGTGAAAGACGTATTTGGAAAATGAGAGTGATTGTAATTTTTATAAATGCACGGCATTTCATCGAAGACTGCACGTTATTGCCACATGTTAAGGAAAAACAAGGGAATATAAAGGAGTTCTATTGCCACAGGAAAGAGTTTAGATTCGCAAAGGATTTGATGAACTTTATAAAAGGCAATGGAACGATACAGGAATTTTCGATTTGATGTTTTTAAAAAATATTTTTGTTGGATGTGCTGCGTTAACCATGAGTTCATTTATTATCGTCCAGGAGGGATTGCAGAACATTTATATATTACATTAAATTGCAAGATGCGGGGAGACCATTCATGTCTAATATTGTATTTCATGTTTCGGTAGAAACATTCAGCGATCGTGCCATGTGTAATTTCTATCTAAAGCACTTTAAATGCGGAATATGCCACCCAGACGGTATAATGGTTAGGGAAGCCTACTGCAGTAAAGCAGAATCTTACAGAAAGCATGGATATCTATAAATGGGCATGGGGGCACTCTAAATATGCGACGAGCCCAAAAGAGACTTTTCGAAAGGTTGATGTTAGGGAAAGACGGATGGGAGACCCTCGGACGCGTTCTCTGGAGTGCTCTCCATCAAAATCGGGGGAGGAAATGAACGAAGTCGTACTGCATCTTTATGATGCTCAAGGTACTTGCCAACGACAGGCACAATCTTGCTCTCCTTGCCACGATGAAGATCGTGGATTTGTTCTATTTTATTGTCAGACAAGTGAGATAAATCACAACACACAACAAATGGGGAATGTTTTGCTTAACCAGTCAGCCATCGTGATAATTTTTAAAACTTTAAGAGCGAAACGAATTTAATCACAAAAACCTAGCAATTTAGAATTACGAACTGAAGTCATGAATTTGTGCAAGGACATAAATCAGGATTAGTGCCACAGAATCACTGAAGATAAGGTCACAAATCTTCAAACAGATCCCAGGGCACTAACAATAAATATTTGAATCAAGGCACCTTATAAACTCTTTTACAAAGGCCCTTTATTCACAAATATCCCGAGGGAACCTTTTTCACAAAGCCTCTCGCAAAGGCCAAGGCACCACTGCAAAACAAATTTTTAAATTTATTTGGGAATTACAGTTTGGGATTTTTCATGAAAAGTGTGAACTTATACTGAGGCATATTATGTAAAATATATCGAAAACAAAACTTGAAAAGCGCATCCATCAAGATCCTTTGCGAGGGAAATCGGATCTGGAGGAAACTGTTACAGTTTTTCTGTTTTAGTCACTTAGATATTGATGAAGCTTGCTCTTTCTAAATGATAAATATAGATTTGAGAATGCTATAAGTCAATAGAGCGTTCGAATAAAACATTACCTAATAAGAGTTAAAAAATTGGATTGAAAATGTTATGCTTTTTTCTCAGCCTTACTTTCTGATATCTAAATACATGATTTGTTCTATAAATAGAAGTATGTTACTTTTTTAATTTAATTAAAATAAATGCGATGCATTAACAATCTTAAAAATGCATTTCAGTAAAACCTTTGATCGTAAGAGTAGATCCACATAAGCGACCTCTCTCGGCAGAGAAAGAAGCTGAAATAAAATGCACTACAAGTGGATCTCGACCTCCAGCTGCCATTACGTGGTGGAAAGGGAGCAAGGAGCTGAAAACTGGAAGGACTGATGGACAAACTGGGGACACAACAACCAGTATTATAAGGTTTGTCCCTTCCGTAGAAGACAACGGGAAGTATTTCTCCTGTCGTGCGCACAATCCTGTAATACCAGGCAGTGCTTTGGAGGAAGGCTGGAACTTGGAAGTCTTCTGTAAGTAAATTTTCTTTCTATGGTTAATATTTAAGTTAATGGTGCATGCAGTACATGTAAGTTAGTGGCCTTTCTTGCCAGATGAACGTTTATTCAACTATCTCCGAAACTGGTTTAGATTTAGAAAGTTTATTGAAATAACTCAAAAAGTTTCTAATTTCGCGAACATTTCAAAAACGCTTTCAAATTAAATCTTTTCATGCATGGCATTCAGTAATCTTTACGACTGAATTTTTAGATGTAAATGTACATATACATAAAGATACTTAAGAGGCATTTTTAGAGTTCAAATTGTCACAAATATTTATTTGTTTACATTTGTACCAGGATTGTTGAATCAAAAAACTAAGTTTAGATTGCTCTTTCCGAAAGTGAAATTTTATTTTACATATAATCATACAGCTAATGGAAAGTAACATTCATACTTCCAATTCGAATTTTTTTAACATTGCATAGGAAATGTTCACAATTGCTAGCAACAATCTGAATTGACTTGAAAAAATATACCATTGTCTGCTGGCACCTATATACAAAACACCGGAGACGAACTCCTGCCCTGCCCGAACTTTTTAGGAAAAATCGTGGAATTTGCTATCTCCAGGAAACCATTCAAGTGGGCGTAGCCCCTGAGATCCCCTCCAGGTTTTATATATAACATTGGATGAAAGATAACGCTCAGCCAATAGAAAGTACGATGTCACCTTTGGGGCACCATTCCGGTCGCAACGAATATATTAGATGTGGTGTTCTATTCGCTCAGTCCCCTAATAAGGACCGAATGCAGCCAATCATCCAAGGAAAGCCACGTATATAACCATGTTACGACCACACAGCTAAAAGGCAAACAAGACGGTACTACATGGCTTCTGGCGTTCCTGAATCCTCCTCCGAACGGACGGAGCTTCTAGTTCTGAGAAGACTGTTTATATATCCCTGAACCCATACTGCCTAAGTACAGATCCTAGCCACTAGCTTCCCTATTTATAACAACACATTGCCTCCTCAAACAGGTTTTAGATCAGTTTGAGTAAATTAAATTATGTTGCTTTTATTGAAAAGCAATTCCATAGTACTGTGTTTTCAATATTGACAAAAAATTCATTTCTAATGTCCTACTATTGAGCCAAGATATTAAAAATATTATTATGAAACATAATTTATATTCGGAGTTAATACTTATCTCTGTCTGTTCTGCTTAATAGCTATGAAAATATTACCTAATGAAACTCTGAAACAGAGCAAAATATACCCCCTTCTGTATCTTAGATAGAGCCTTTCCTTCAAATAAAAAGTTATCTATAGAAAATATTACTCAGATATACTCCTCTTCAGCACATTACAAGAATTTCATCATCATAAGTAGAAAGATAACCGACACGCATGTAGTGTTTCGAATGATACTAAAAAAATGTTATATAGATAGTTGCCGTTTAAAGTTCTTTCGTAAATACCAAACTTTCTTTTCATTAACTTTCTGTATCTTAAGACACAATAACATGCCGAACAAATATTAATTCGGAAATCAAACAACAAAAATCAGCATTATATTTTATTTTCAAATTTTTGCAGGACTAGTTAGTTTCAATGGTTTTATCGAACTACCATCCTCAGCTTTTGCTGCAAAGGATGGTGAGTCTCTAAATGAACAAGATAGGATCTCTTTCATTGGCAAACGAGATAGGTTCTCAATATAGGTTCAAACGAGATAGGTTCTCGTTCATGGAGCAAATGAACGAGATAGGATCACTTTACATATGTTATCGGCAAAGTATGAAAGCTCGGCATTCTATAGAATGCCTAGGCACCGCATATAATGTCGGACGTTTTTAGGCAAAGTATAAAATATGAGAAAAATTTCATACTTCCCCAGGTATTGTATATAGTATATCTATATACAATGCCAATAATATATACAATGTATATACATGGGTTGGACAAAAATATGGAAACAGCTTTAAAAAAACATGTTTCTTTGCTTAATATGGTGTAGGAAACCCGTTGGCATCCAAATTAGCTTGCAGTCTTCTCGGAATGGATAAATATAGTTCCTGCATGTTTGCCAAGGGAATATTATACCATTCTTCCTGCAAAACGGTGGCAATTTCACATAACGATGTTGGCGGTGGATAACGAAAATGCACTTTCCGTTTCAATGTAGACCACAAAGGTTCAATAATATTCAGGTCTGGTGACTGTGGTAGCCAGGGGAGATGGGACAACTCATACTCGTGCTCAGAAAACCAGTCCTGGACAATGTGAGCAGTGTGAACAGGGGCTTTGTCGTCTTGGAAGACACCATCACCATCAGGGAACAAAGTTTGTACCATGGGATGAACTTGATCGGCCAAAATGTTCACAAAAGTCTTGGCAGTCATGTGCCCTGACACAGTTATCATGGGGCTAGCAGAGAACCATGATATGGCTGCCGAAACCATAACAGAACCCCGGCCATATTTCACTCTTGGCAACAAGCAGTCTGTATTATAGGCTTGAGATGACATTCTCCAGACATAAACTCGGCCAGAAGTGGGAAACAACGTGAAAGAAGACTCGTCAGACCATATTACTCGCTTCCACTGCTCTATAGTCCAGGCTTTATGACTTAAACACCACCTTTTCCTGTTACGGGGGCGGGCATTAGCATCACTGATGAGTGGCTTCTCAATTGCAGCACGGCCAGCAATTCCCTCTTTATGAAGCGCCCTTCTAATTGTTTTGGTACTCACAGGGTTCAATAACACAACATTCATTTCAGCAGTAACTTTTGCAGCTGTGGTCTTCTTATTTTTTGTCACAATTGCCCTTAATGATCGTCTGTCACGATCACTCAGGACACACTTTCGTCCGCGCTGTGATTTAGCAGATGATGTTTTTCCGCTTTTTAAATATGCGGAATAAATCTTTGATACAGTACCTCTTGAACCTCTAACAGTACTCCGACAACAACTGAACTGTTTAGCACATTTACGAAGTTGTATAGGTGGCGTCAGTAGTCAAAAACGTCAGCGCCACCTACATGTTTCATTAAAATCAATCTTTCTGTTCAAACATGCATTTCACAAGGTGTTTCCATATTTTTGTCCATCCACTGTATATATATACATTGTATATATATATTGTAAACATATGTTATATATACAATGTATACAATTGCATTGTATATATACCCCAAGCATTGTATATATATCCCCAGGTATTACCTAGGCATTCTATAGAATGACAAATGCTCTTTAGCCAAAGTATGAAAAACAGGTTACGATAAGACTTTTATATAAAAGAAGTTCATTCCTCAAAAACACAAATGTTAATTTGAAAAATTAATGAAAGATTGGCATTAAAAACTGTTATTCGAATATATAAACAAATAGTGAGATGATATTGGTACAACATAATAAGTCTGTATTTTCTATATGAGCCTGGGAATCAGTAAGATCTACCTAACAACGGAAATTAAGTTCAGAAACAATTGTAAGTTTCACATCAATGCCCTTTATAATATCTTCTTGTTTCTGCTGTTAGGGCTTACGAAGATAGTTGTACAGTTCAGTAGCATTACATGTAACATTTTTGTATTTGGTTGAAAATTCTTTCAACATTCTGCCACGCTTCCGTGTGCTGTTCTCAAAAGAGTTGGAAAATAACTCAGTGTCCGTGACGTAATGCTCTATATTACTGACGCTTTCTTTAACTGGAAAATGAATGTACTTTGGTTTTCTACAAATATCACATCGCAGCGATTCAGCGGCCAGTAGTCCTGTAGTAGTCATTTTGCATTTGGTGCGAAATGAAAAGGAAATGCATTTCTTATTTTGCCAATTTGTCATTCGGCATTTTATACAATGTCTAGGAAATGTGAATTGTTTCAGACATGCCGGCTAGCTTTAGGCATTACACAAAGCCTAGGCATTCTATAGAATGCCAGATTTCAAACTTTGTCGGTAACATATACACTCAAGAGAACATAATTTATGGTGTCTATAAATTGCTTTCAGTTCGTATTTTGCTTATATGTATGTATGCCAGAGTATTTTGTATTTGAAAGTACCTATTGTTTCTATTATATTTAGTGAACAGCCTAATTATATATACATAACTTCAACCCTAAGATTTCAGTAATTATCATATCATCGAAATTGTAGAATTGCATATAGCCTTAATTCCATCTAGCGCTGTACTACTCATGATGCCAATAGCTCAGATCCTTATCACTGTAGATAATTTAGTAGAAGATTAGATTTAGAATAGAACATTAAATTTTTGTATTAAACATATTTTAATCTTAGAAAAGCGCAGTGATATGGCTTTGCGTCACATGTATTTTAGCTGGGCCGTAAGGAAGAACATCTTAATGAAATTAAAATTATAATTGTGGATGAAGGCGGAGAGTATAGGTATGTTGAATTTCGTACTTGATATTCATGATTTTTTCAGATATGGGATATCATAATGAACTAGCATAATACATTTATATTTTGAAGGAACTCAATTAAAGAAACCCTCTTTCTTCTAAGGATCGTAAATTTTATGACAGTAAACAAATATTAAACACGTACATGTGAACAAATTGCTATGTTGCTGTAGAAAATGTTATATCCATAATAAGAGGGCTTTCTTCGCCCAATACTAAATATAATCGTATAATTTCCTTTAAAAAGCAAATTACAGGGGTTTCAAAAAAAAAGATAAATAAAATTATGGTTCCGGTTTTGTTTCTTTGAGATCAATAATTGAGAGCTAAAAATTAAAAAAAAAAAATTAAAAAAAAAAAAAAAAAAAAAAAAAAAAACGAAATTATGTCAAACATGACGTTATTTTCTTCTTGGTAATTTTCTTTTTGTTACGAAACATTAACATGTACCTCAATTCCTGTAATTTTATTATTTTTGTTATTATCAGAATTTTAACAGAAATAAAATACAGAGTAGGAGCTGTTTAATGTATTTGTGTGCTTCCGAGTAATTCAAGAAAATCGATTACTCAAATTTACATTAAATTAATGC